TCCTTATTAGTTATTTGGCCTGGAGGAGCACACTCATCATAGAAAAAACCATCCCAATAAAAACAAATTTTTTTTTTTCAAATAACACAGTATGATCTTGATCTTGAGGTGGATTTGCCACCTCTTTCCTTGGGGGTGAAGAACTAGGAGACTTCCTCAAAGATGGCTAGATCTTCGTTTGTGGATCATAGCCATAAACCCACCAATCGTCTCCAGTTAGGACCTTGAGAAAATCTAGTTTAATGGTAGCAGGTTAATGGAAATCATTACTAGTTGTGGCCTGAAGTTTCACAGAATTAATTTTACAACTTGATGTCTTATACCAAGATACATGGTTTGAATTTCAGTTACAATCAATTTTTGGAATATGTATCTAGTCGTCCACATGTGGGATGCAATTTTTTGTTATTTGAAGCCGCACCTGGCTTTTGCCTGGGACCATGAATATAGCCGGGCCATAAATATGGCCAAACGGCTGAAAGGGGTTTCCGGGACCTCTCCACAGGTGATCCTCATCCACATGGTGGCACTTTGTGTCACCGGGTGTCTATCGCTTTGTGTGCTGGCCTGGTGGGGTACAACATATATACATACATTTTTAAAATCCCAAGTGCATTTTCTAGTTTTCACACTGACATTCACTGATTTTTTGCTGGCTTAGCTTGTATATGAACATTGTTAACACTTTCTGGGGCTCTGCTTATTTAGGCCTTCAAGAAATGGGATCACTTTCTCCAGATTAACCATCTCTGAATCATTTTTGCCAGACTTTCATTTCTGATGCACTCCCTATATCATCCCCAAAGGCTTTCTGAACCATCCAAATAGTTTCTGAGGAGAAATGTTGAAGCTTAACCCAAAAATTTGATGCAAATTCTTGCCTCTACTTATTCAGCCATTTTGAATGTGATCACTTAGTCTAAGCCCAGGTTTCAACTTCATTGCAATCGAGTTCCCCATACATCCCTTGTTCTTGTGCCATTGAAAATCAAATGAAATGTCCCTTACTGTCCCATGTGAAAAACTGGTGAATGAAAACTTAGTCCTGGAACAATCCAGAAATATATGTGCAGTAACTGCATATACGCAATAGCTAGAGTTGCCAAAGCAAACAGTTGCCACCAGAAATGCAGTTTGTCAATGATAAAAGTAGTTGGGCACGATAAGTTGGCTGGCTGTACACGCGCAGAATAACTAAATAAGGTATTTCACCAGCTCACACATAAACCGGCTACAGGCCATAGTGAATACCACGACTCAACCACTGTGCACATTAAAGGAATTCTACGTGGAAAATGCAGCTCACAGGGTTGCACCAAACACTAAACTCAGTAGCTCAGACAGTGAAACCGTAGACTTCCTTCCATCCATACGTGGAAACTGCATTAGCAAAGTGCTGTGGCAAGCAAAAATAACTTCGAAGTCAAACATACAGGTGGACATTAAACAATTTTAACGGTCGACTGCCTGGTTCACGGCCTCATCATTGCCCAAGAATGCACAGAACAGGACACTCTATTAGCCTGCCAAGTGACCTCAATGTTGCCTACACAGTTCTCTTTCACATTAACAATAGCTTTTTCGTTTCTAGACAGCCTCCTCCGCATAACTCGTTCTACACAACTTGTTCTTTCGTTGTTAAATGAACAGATAATGAGGTAAACCTCAACTACAACAAAATTAAATGTAAGTAAAACAAAAATAAAGAAATTTATAAGTTATCCCCAAAGCATGAATGTATGTGGGCATGAAATGAAGTTAAAAACAACAATATAACATACTGATGTTTCTAGAAGTTTATTATCTATGTACACAACAAATGTTACATATACTGTAAACTGCGACGTACAAGTTGGTGAACAAGTCATTCCACGATTTTTGGCTCAAAATTCTGAGATAGGCATATTCCTATACAATGCAATTTAAACCCACGCTATAGGTTGACTTTTTTTAGTTTTAGAAAGCTTTTTTTTTAGGCTTGAAAACTCAACTTATACGTCGCTATATACGGCAATTAGGCACTGTTTCATTTTGTTAAATAAATGTTCACACATATTAATAAATATGATTCAGCTACTTATTATACTGTTGAGGTCGTGTTTACTCATATATATAGTATACAAAAATTAATAACTCACAAAGAAAGATGGCTACTGGAATCAGAAAAAAATAACGTCGTTGAGGAGGGGAAAGCTGGAGTATGTCAAGGCAATGGGAAAGGTGAAAAGAAAGAGAGGCAGAAAGAGAACAAGAGAGAGGGAAAATAAATGGGTAGGCATTATGTCAAGGGCACTAGGCCAAAATCACTCAAGTTCAATTTTGGCAGTTCCCCTAAGTGCATTTTTAGGGCTGTTATTTGTCACTTAAAAATATGCCAAAGGCACACATGTGAATTCCTACTCTAAACAGGTTAACATAATGCATTATTCTTCATGCAACTACATACTTTAAGTTTGATTTTTCACAGATTTCAATGTTCAAACAGGATTTTCTCAAAAAAAGGATTTACCACTTAGGTGACTCTGGCATAGTGCCAAAGGTATAGAATTAAATCCGTATCAGAAATGATTATCAGTACAAGAGACAGAGTCCTTAAGAAAGAGAATAGGGGCTTTTGAGCTGAAATGCTATAGAAAGATTCTCATAATATCTTGGACAAAGAAGATGAGAAATATTGACATCTTAAAAGATCTGAACATCAAGGAAGATTGGCTAATAAACAGCATCCTTTCTCGAAAGCTGAAATATTTTGGTCATATCAAGCGCCACTACGGATTGGAAAAAATTATAGCAGAAGGCATAGTACCAGGAAGGAGGGGCAGGGACCGACCGACACGAAGATGGGCACAGGATATAAGTGACTCCTTGAGAGTGAAAGTACATGAGGCGGGAGAACTGGCGAGAGACCGAGGTTCTTTCAGGCAGACTGTGATGAGAGCGAGGTTCTGCAAAGGACCTGATGATGACAAGAAACAGAAAGCTGTAAACATGACTGGTGCCACAACACATGGACTGTGAGCGAATACATAATTCGACTCTGTTACAGCTGTGGTCAATTTCAAGAAAATGGGTGTAAGCGAGTGAACTACAAGCTGTAACAACACAGGTCGTTGTGGTTCTAAATAAAACAAGCTGCATATAACGTATTAAAAGTCTTGCAATCATAATTTTTTTTTAAATTACCATTTGTGAAACATTATTTTTCTCACAAACATCATAGTAACAATACAAAATGTTGCTATATGAACATATCAATTTAATTTCTAAAACCAATGTCCCACCAAGTAAAAGAATATGCACACAACAACTCAAATGAAATGGGAAAAAAAAGAAGCTTTCATTCACATATGTTGTCTCAAATGATAATCTTTTTTTTACAATTTACAGACATCCTAAAGCTTGTTCCACAGACTTCACACAAAGTAGTGTTACACAGACATCTTAAAGACTTGTTGTGTCATGATTTGTTCATGATTTGTTACACAAACACACAGAGAAGTGTTACAGACATCTGAAAGACTTGTGGTGTCATGGTTTGTTACACAAACAACACACAGAGTAGTGTTACAGACATCTTAAAGACTTGTGGTGTCATGATTTGTTACACAAGCAACACACAAAGTAGTGTTACACAGACATCTTAAAGACTTGTGGTGTCATGATTTGTTACACAAACAACACACAAAGTAGTGTTACAGACATCTTAAAGACTTGTGGTGTCATGATTTGTTACACAAACAACACACAAAGTAGTGTTACAGACATCTTAAAGACTTTTGGTGTCATGATTTGTTACACAAGCAACACACAAAGTAGTGTTACACAGACATCTTAAAGACTTGTGGTGTCATGATTTGTTACACAAACAACACACAAAGTAGTGTTATACAGACATCTTTAAGACTGTTACATCATCTAGCTGGTGTTGCATTAATCTACCACCAAGCTGTGCAGACTCTGCCAGTCTATCTGCTTGTTCCTTACTGAATCAAGAACTACCTAGAAGTGAAAATGTTAACTCTTTTACAACTCACTGTAGGTTCAATGGTGAGAGAGACAGTATAACCAGGGCTTTTTTTCTCCCCTGGCAATATAGACACCCTTCCTTTATGCACCATTTTGACAGAGCAACTGTACCAGACAGTGAGATGAGAGTACCCGCCCTTTCTGAAGACCCTTTTTCTTCTGGGAAAAAAGCCCTGGGTATACCACTCTCTTATCACAGCCAATTGTAACAATAAACCCTTTCACACCAGAAGAGTCTTTGAAAACCGCCTTCTGTAAAAACTTCAATTGCTTTGATCCAGCATTTCATCTCATACACAGTTTTATCTATTCTCATTCACACAATACCATGTTTTAGTACCAAACACTAAACAAACAAACAAAATTTGCTAGAAGAAAAAAAAAAATAACATTACCCAAACCAATACCACACTAAAACAACCCCCAAAATATTTCTTAGATATATATCCAACACATGTAGATATTTATAAACACTTTGTTTTTTTGCAAATGTTTCTCATCAGTGTCTCATTTATTCCGTTATTGGGCCAACATACACACACTGAACAGGCCATGTCATTGCAGGCAGTACAGTTTTCAATTGGGGCAGCTGCGTTAATCAAGCATTTCTTCTCCTACATGGAGTTTATCTTTTCTCATTTACACAATACCAGGTTTTAGTACCAAACACTTAACAAACAAACAAACAAACAACAACAACAAAACATTTGGGGAAAAAAAAACTATTAAAAAAATCAAATAAAATAGTGCCACACACTAAAAGGCCCCCCCCCCCCCCTCCCCCCCCCCCCAAAAAATTTTTGTAGATATATATCCAACACATGTAGATATTGACAAACCCTTTTTTCTACAGATCACTTTTTTCTCTCTGTGTGTCCCATTTATTGCCCGTTTTCAGGCTGACATGCGCTACACCTCATGTCATCGCTGGCAGCAAAAGTCTTCAGTTAGGGCAACTGACGGCAGTTATGAGGCTAGTCCATCTTGATGTTGACATAAATGTACCGCACAAATTTCAGGGAGGCAAAGAACGACACTGTGGCCAGCATCAGGAAAAACACATAGCAGGTCAAGGCCGTGTATCCCAGGAACTCCAGTGTTTGAAGAAGCCCCGACATATTTGATCGTTTGTAGTAGTAGAACAGAGCATACAGGAACACAAACACACCTGTGGATCTACAAATGTATACAAAAGGTTACCAGGTGTCATTGCTATGGTAAAAGAATTTTTATTATAAACAGTATGCATGTGTTATAGAAAGACTACATGTGTTATGGAAAGTATATAATTTATATAGACAAAACTAGCCCTGTGAACAAACGCCTGATGCAGTCGGATGTGTTAGCGGAAAGATGCAAACATCGCAGGCTTTGCTGTAAACAGGCATACCACAAATTACATCACTCTGACAAATGATGAAGAAGAAAAAGATACTGAAACAAAAATTATATATTATGGAAAGTATGTAATTTTTTATTCACTTTAACCCCAGTATTCCTTCACTCTGCTTTTTGGACTGACTTTGTTGTTTCTGCCACAGTTTGAACATTCAAAAAACTAATGTTAGTGTTTATTTTTGTTGTTAAGCCAATTAGTATTGAGTCTATCACCTGGGAACTGCCTAACAAAATAAAAGGCGATGAATAAGGGAACTTGGTCATCCTCAACTTCAAATATCGGCACTACATTAAAGTCACCTTTGTTTTGGGGAAATAAAATTTGAACATTGAAAAGAACTTCGCAGTTGCATGAGAAGTAATACTTCATTTTGACCTTTATGGAGCAAGAATTAACATGTGTGCTTTTGGTATATCGTAAAGAGACAAATAACAGCCCTTATAATGCACTTGAGTGAAGATCGCCAAAGCTGCACTTAAGTGACTTTAGCATAGTGCCAATGATAGATCAATTAGTGAAAACCTTCCCAGTGTGGATTCCGGGGCCCCATTGTGGTAAACAAAAAGAATAGACCCACTGTCACTAACAAGCAGGTCATAAGAGTTGACTATCTAGGGATGTTTCTTCTGATATTGGGGTGCATCTGCCTGAGAGGTGAGGAACCAACAGTCTGCACAGAAATAAGCCACATCTGTAATATGGATGTGCAGGCACAACTGAGGTTCTGGAACAAGATTAAAGTCCAGAAGTGGATGAACACCAGACCTTTTAGCCAGAGTTTACAACCGGCGAACGTGAAGAGGAAGAAGAAAGAGACATCCTAACTGCAGTAACTGCCATGGAACTATCTTTAGTTTAAACAGTTTTTATTTTCAAAGTTAAACAAGAAATATATAAATAATAGAATTAGAAGAAGGAAAGGAAGAACAAGAAGTAGCAGGAGGATGAGAAGATGAACAATCCTTCCTTGTGAAATATGCAAAGTTTTTATCTTCCAAGAACGTTTGGTTCTCTTCCATAAATTATGTGCCAAAGTACTTGATAATCATGCAGTTCTTGGTTTGCTTGTTTCTAAGGCAACTTGTTTTCTGTGATGAGGTCATCATTTGGTGATAATGTTAAATTGTAATGACTACATTTTAAAATTCTAGTGTCCGGTCTTCCAATTCACATTTTTAGTTGCTGAAAACGTCATACTTATATACTGGTAATTTCACATTTTCAGAGTGCGGCAAGTAATTTCATACTTTTAACTGCTGGTGATCTCACATTTTTTCAGGTCATAATTTCAAATGTTCAGACTTCCCGTGTGGGTTCCGGGGCCCTGTTATAGGGAAAACAAGAACAGACCCACTGTCTACCCAAAAGCATGTCGTAAGAGTCGACTAATTGGGAGCTTCCTTTAAAGTCGGAGTGCATCTGCCTGAGAGGCAAGGAACCTGCAGTCTGCATACAAATGAGTTACATCTATAAGACAGATGCACACTAAACACTCAGGTTCTGGAACAGGACTGCAGTCCAGAAGTGGATGAACAAATAGAACTTTCCGTCAGAGTTTACAGCTGGCGAAGAAGAAGATATGTTCAGATACTGGCGATTTCAAATTATCCGATAGTGATTACATGTAAGGTTTCAATCTCCTCACAAAAATATGTAATGTGTAATATGTTAAATTTATATATTAAAAAAGCACATATAAAAAATGACTTACCCTGCACTAAATATGGATCGCCACCACCACCGATAGTCTTCCGCCGACAGCTGGAAGTAGGTCAGAGCAATGGAGATGCAGGCAGTAACACTCAGCAAGATCCCATACACAACAAATAGAATCCCAAAAAGTGTGTACTGTTCCCTTCCCCACAGGGTGGCAAAGATGTAGTACAGTTCCACTGAAATGGCACTGTACAAAAAGAAAGGTAATCTAACAATGAAATAAGTGTGATTAACACAAGTATGTGATTCAATTAACTACAAAAAATTTCTACCAAAATGGCACTGTACCAAACGACATCTAATCCAACAACGAAATAATTGTAACTTACACAAGTATGTGATTCAATTTACAAAAAATTTCCACCAAAATAGCACTGTACCAAAAGACATGTAATCCAACAATAAAATGAGTGTGACTAACACTGTGATTCAATCAACTACAAAACATTTCTACCAAAATGGCACTCTACCAAAAGACATGCAATCCAACAATGAAAGAAGTGTGAGCAATGTAAGTATGTGATTCAATTAACTTCAAAACATTATTAAAGCTAAAACAAATTTGGGGCTGTCGGCATCTGTGGCTTAGGTGTTGCAAGTTCACTTGGTAATGCCAGGGTGCAGAGTTCGATCCCACCTGCAGGCAATTTGACAGCAGACTGCCTTGTGTTGGTTTTGACAGTGTTATCGACAGCCGACAGTTTTGAAGGCAATGACAAACTAGTGATCGCAAATTTGTCTACAAAAACCACAACAGGCTAGAAATGCTAGGGTTGGTTCTGCAATGTCCCGTCAAGGACAGGCAAACTAAGTTTAATATGGTGCTAAACCACACTGTTTACAGACCAATCAACACCCAACGGCTGATGTGATCAACATCATACTGTCCACCTTTATTTCTCTTGACATTACCTGGTACCCAGTCTAGGTTGGGTTGGCCTAACCAAAGAAATGCAGCATGTCACAGGCTATTTTTCAGGTGTACCAATCAATAAGCTTTGTGTTGTTATGGTTCTGACATTTAGTCTGAGCAGGTTAAAGAAATCTGGCAAATTTATTGGCTGCATCATCATCATCAGCAGCAGACCTAACCTACAAACAGCTGGCGTCAACAACTAGAAAGAGCAGGCCAACCAGACAGATGAATGGAGGCTGGTGATATCTGCAGCAATGAACCTCAAGAGCTCACAATGCTGAAGAAGAAGAAGAAGATCGTCATCAATGGTGTGCTATTTATACATTGTATAGGGCTCATAGCTGATTTCTCAAATTCTGTTCTACCCTGTTCAGTCCTTTCAAAATCTGTAAGGCACCTCTAGTTTCTCTCATCAACGTTCACCATAAGATTTCTCTTTTATGTTCTCACACCGTAATCCGTGTCCCATTGTCTGTTATATCCTTCTCTCTCCGCTTTTTCTCAAGATATGCCCAATATATCCTCACCTTTTTTCTTCTAATTAGTCACCCAACCAGTATGGCCGCTGTCAAGAAGGAAAGCAATGACAAACTACCATCTTCAAAATGCCAAGAATAGTAATGACTTCACAATTTACAAGCAACCAATACAACAAGACTAACCTGAAAGGCAAGAATCCTCCTATGACACAGTGGGCAAATGCTGAACGATACCAGGGCACACTTGGAATTTCTCGGGAAATATTTTTAGTTCTGCACGGTGCATCAAAGCTTCCTGCATAATTCTTGCCAAATATCCCTCCCAAGACAGTCAGTGGGTAACCAACTGCAGGAAGAAAAAGTGTAATATGGTTAACAAAGATATGTGATTAATGCTGATCTACTGACCTGTAACAATTATTTGCTTCATTCAGTAGTGATTGATGCTGATCTATTGACCTGTAACAATGATTTGCTTCATTCAGCAGTGATTGATGCTGATCTATTGAACTGTAACAATTATTTGCTTCATTCAGCAGTGACTGATGCTGTGTCACAACCCTATTAAGTACAGTCAGTGTACCACACCGTAAGGTGTGCACCCAGGGTTGACACAGAGGTCAGGGCCGTCACTGGTCGAGTCCGTTCTGTGATCGCACGGCGAAACCAGCGCTCAGGATAAAGCAAGAAAGCTTGAACTGTGTTTTAGTAACACGATGACTGCTTCTGGGACTGAGCTGGTGAACGGGGTCAAGAGACACGAGGGAGAAGGAAGAGGGACATTCGGTGTGCGTCAGTCAGGAAGAGAGGACGTTGAGTGACTGGATAGTTTATGTTATAGTATTAAAGTTAGGATATATTTCTGTTAGTGACTGGATAGTTTATGTACAGTTTTGTGTTAGGATAGGATAGTTCTTGTGTAGAGTATTTATGTATATGTGCTGTGAGAGAGTGGCTAACCTGGACACTCTGACCCTGCACTAGGACAGAGACTGTGACAGTTTGATTGGGTCAGCGTGGCGATAGAAGAGAGCGTATCCTGCCGGATTGTGGTTTGTACACCAGAGTATTGCCTGTCGCACGTACTGGGGACGGGGCGATTGTAAAGCCCGTCCAGCCAGAGGGTCCAGGCAATAGGTGGCCACACGGCGGGAAGTCAACTGTCTATGTATTTCCTGTACTTCCAATAAAGATTGTCGTGTGTGCTCTGTGTGCGTTCGGGTTCAGTGTGTTGTAGGTTAGTCTGTCTGTCATAGGCCTAGTTAGCGAGCCACGGACCGGCAAGGTCATACCAGAGGTTTGTGACAGATTATGGGGCTCGTCCTTGGGAATTGAATCTATAGTAGTAGCTAGATAGTAATAGTTGTCCGCGTTAATTGTGAACCCAATGTGCTTGTACTTATTTGTCTAAATAGGAGACATAGATTAGTTTGTATGTTTAGCTGACTGATTTATTTTTCTTTAAGTTTTGTCGTTCACTATTGTAGGGCTAACGTGATTCAGTTAATCCCTTAATTTTGATGTTGCTATCGAGTAAGTTTGTGATGGCGTAGCTGAGGTAATTCTCTTAAATATTGCATCGTTGTCCGGGCCTACTCTTAATTATTGATAGCGACATCGGGGTTGGCTTGGGTCACCCGTAGTGCTATAAAGTGATAGTTTGTTATCGTTTTCGTATTTGTTCCGACTGATTGTAATTAATAATGACTAAATGTGATAGGGCTGCGTTTGCGTCGTGACAAGTTAGTGACGTAGAGGAGAAATAGTTTAACGGACAGTAAAAAGGGTGAGGAAGGTCAAGATTGTGTGCTGTTGTGTGGTTGCTGCCGACACCAATCAACCGAGGCCTGTCGATCTCGGTCATCACCTCATCCTCATCATTCTTTCTGTGGGAGGCCAAGAATCAAGGACTGGAGAGAAGATTAGTTTGTTTTGCTTTTGGTGTATTGTTGTGGTCTGTTCTCCAGCCCTCGAGGGTTCTACGCAATTGTATTTGAGCCCCTGGCACCGTTCATTGTCCTTCTCATTTCTCGTCTGTCCTATTCATCATTTACGTTATTTTTGTGGGCGGTTGGCAGGGCTAGTCTTGTGTTGTCCCTAGTTGTCTAGTGTTGCTAGGATTAACATAAGATTACGTGTCAGCTATATTGCGATTCTAGTCTCGTCTGCAACTCCTTTTGCAGCCGGGTCTATTGTCAAGATATATGCTTGTAGCGTCTTGTTTGTAAATAGTTATTGTCCAATCGTTGTGCTTTCCTGTCAATAAGTGTTTATCTAATAGTACGTTATCGTTCGTGCGTGTACCGTCTGATTTAGAGATTAATAATTTCTTCGAGGTGTTTTCGTGTGTGAAATTGTTTTCCACGTAGTGATACTAGTGCTGTTCATTTCTGTGTTAATTTTTTTTTGTGCACACACATCATCATCCCTCATTCGGAAATTGTAACGAATAAGTTTCGGTGACCCATCCCTTTCTGTATCGGAACAGTCCAAATTGTTCCATAATTATTAATATTGTTGGATTGAATTTATTAATTTGCTATAATTTTTGCATTGTTTTCACTGATTTCCGGGCTTGCCACTTGTAATTTTTAGTATTTTTGTTCGTGGCAGTTACGGTATTCAGGTGATTTGTTGAGTAGTTGTTTATTATTATTTTTGATTTTGAAAGAAAGATCACTGTTGTTGTAACTAAGATGTCGAGTCTATCTGAGTTCATCGAGATGGCAAAACAGCATGGTCTGACTGGCGAGAAGGCGCTAGAATGGGCAGACAAGAAATATGCCGATCTTCAAGAAAGAAAAGACAGAGCTGACGAGAGAGAACTCAAGAAATTGGAACTAGAAGCCGCTAGTAAATTAAAAGAGATTGAGGCTATCAACATAGAAAAACAGTTAGAAGCCCAGAGGAAAACAAAGGAGATTGAGGCTATCAACATAGAAAAACAGTTAGAAGCCACTGGTAAACTAAAGCAGATCGAACTGGAAGCCCAGGCGGCATTAAAAGACAAAGAAGTAGCAGCTCAGATAGCTCTTAAACAACAGGAGTTATCTGCGATGGCTGAGAGAGACAGGGTACAGTTGTTGATCAAGGATAAGGAACTAGAACACACCTCTATATTGAGACAAAAAGAGATGATATGCAATTCAGACCTAGAGAAAGAAAGGCTGGTGATGGAACTAAAGGCCAAAGAGATAGAAGCAACTAGAGATGCGGAGGTGCAGATGCGTAAGGCTGAGTTAAAGGCTGCTGAACCTTCTTTCAAAAAGTACCAGGGCCTAATAAAATTTTTTACACAGGGTGATTCCATATCTGCATGGACAAAAAATTTTGAATGTATGGTCAATCACTATGAGGTCCCTTTTAAAGAGTGGTCACTAATTTACCGAAAACATCTAGGGGGTGAACCTTTGAAATTACTAGAGACAATCCCTACTGAAAAACTTGAGGATTATTACTTTGTCAGGGATAGAATTCTCCAACATTTCTCCCTAGATGAGGAATCTTACAGAAATACCTTCAAAAATTTGATTCCGAAAGCTGAACAGACATTTCTGGATTACATGTCTGAGGTGGTATCCACTTTTGACAAGTGGGTAACATCGGCGAAAGTGAACAAATCATACGATTTGTTAAAAGATCTATTGATAAGAGACAAGGTGTTGTCAAGTGTCCCGAGCAGCATGAAGACGTTTTTGATTGAACAAAAACCTGAAACAGTAAAGCAGATGGAAGATGCAGGTGCTGCATACTGGAATGCTCACAGAAACATTTTTAGTTTCAACAAGGGTGCAGACATCGGCTACGGAGCTGCAGTACAACCTGTATACAGGAAAAAGCAATATACTCAGAAGAAAGGAGAATACTCAAAAGAGTATAAGAGCTACAGACCTGTAAGAGATAAAGGTCCAATAGTTACATGCCTATACTGTAAAAGAGATCATGGTCAACGACAGTGGTGCGAAATGAACCCAAAGTATGAAGAGCATTTTCGTAAGAGGGAGAAAGAAATGCATGAGAAAAGCTCAGTAAACTACCCACTCCAGTGTCGCCTGTGCGACTCGATTGATCATTTACAAAAAGACTGTAAGATGAGAAGAAGACAGCATCAGAGTGCAGCTGCAGAAATATCTGACAGTGGCAGTGACTCTGGAAGTAGGTTCTCTGATGGGAGTATGGCAGATGTACCTACAGCAAATTCAGCTGAGCTTGTGAACTTCTCTGACACAGGATGCCAGACCTACAGAGGGTTTAATGAAGAGGGTAATCTGACCTGTGGTCACAGTGAGATAGGGGATGCAAATGCGGTAACGAGTTTCGATGGCCAGCTGAAGTTCACGAAAGGGGTAGTTAATGGAAAAGTAGTGACAATTTTACGGGATTCTGGGTCGACAGTTTTTGGTATAAGAGAAAGTCTAGTGAATGCGTGTGATTTGACGGGTGAATATATTGTATGTCGAACCTTTTCAGGGAAGAAAGAAAAGTATGATTTGGCATGGGCCAATCTAAAATCAGCTCACTGCACAGGTAGAACAAAATTTGCAGTGCTGGCAGACCCTGTTGCTGATATTATCCTTGGCAACTGTAAAAATGTAAAGGATGTCTCTGAAAGTGAGATAATCGAGTGGCAGAGGGACAACATAACTTGCAATGTTGTAACTGGACAGCAGTCCGTGAGAGAGAGTGATGTGAATGAAAGTGTATGTATGAAAAATATTTTTACTGTCAACACATCAACTCAAACAAACCTTTCAGAGAATTTCTACACAAATAAAACAATTGAAATCTCTCCCGATAATGTTTATTCGGAAGAACTGTTACCAATCCCTTCTAAACCAACTGACAAATTAGTGGTTGAGGAGTTCCATAATAGAACTGTCATTCCTGACTCTAATGTAGTTGATACGACAGATATTCTCTTGTCTGTCCTACAAGACTTACCTGCAACCAAACAAACCCTTACACCTAATATTACCCAACAAATTTCAGAAACATCTACACAGAAAGCTGAAATTGATAATGTTCTCTCTGATGTGCCAGGCAGATGTACACACATTTACCAGCATCTACAATTAATAATCAACAAACCGGTCAAAATAAAACATACTTTATTATTTCTGATACTGCAATGTATACTGTTGACATGTGCATGTTTATTAATGATGCCTTATAGATTATCTGATGTTCAAGGAATACAACATTTTGGATTTACAGATCTTCCCAAAATTTTGAATCTTAAAAACTCCACCAACAATAAGGAGATCCGAAGCTTACTCGACCTCATCAATCATTACAACCAATTTACCTTGAACATTATCCAGGAAAATGTATTTTTCACTAAACCAT